GTATTGCCGCGGAGAGGCGGTGTATGGGGAGATAGCGGAGAGGGGAAGTAGGGAGTGAACCGGAGAGGCAGAGGTGGGAGGAGTAAGCAGGATGCTTTCAAGATCACGGCGTGGAAGGAGAAGAGGATAGCTCAATGGGAGCAGAAATATAAGAAGTGGAGAGTGAGGGGTAGGATCGCATCAGAGAGAGAGAGAGAGAGAGAGAGAGAAAGAGAGAGAGAGAGAGAGAGCGAGAGAGAGAGAGAGAGGATATAATGGTACGAAATCGTACGCACTTCACGCCTGATTGAATAAATTTACTCAAAAAACTACTAAATTTACTAAAAAAGAGTTCACGGTTGAACGCTGGAAGCTTAGCGTATGAAATTCTCAGCAAGCTGATACATGTACACACGCGCTCGCTCGCATCTCTCACACATCACTAAACTCCCTCCTTATACATAGAGCTCACGCTGATCCATGAGGTAAGAAATACTAGCACACACGACAGTACGATGATGTACAACAACGGTTGATTGTAATACTGTTATGATGGCCTGACGTAGGAGTGTAGCACCGTCCTGTAAGCGGGCGTAATCCACGTGAAATTACGATTAAATAATTATACGCGATAATGTTATTACAGGTTATAATAAACAAGTGCAATTTACGAACAGTCTAATGAAAAAAACTTTTTGGATTCGTTTTTGAGTGAGCTTTTGTAGCGAGACTTTCAAAGCTGCAATATCGCGTGGCAAGTAAAAAGCGTCACGGAAATGTCGATTAAAACTTGATGATTTCTGTCGCGTTCGCAGACGCAGTCACAACTGCAGTCGCAGATGGACACGCAGCGCGCCCTGGTGGCGGCCGCGATGCAGCAGCAGCAGCAGCTGCAGCAACAGACGCTGTTACTACAGCAGCAACTACTGCAGCAGCAACTCGACGCGAGAAAGAACGGGGTAGAGGTCGCCACCGGCGCATCGTCGACCTCTAGAGTGACGCGGGTAAGTGTTGATCGGTCACAGTTCAAACAGCGGTCAATGCGATGACGTGTGTTTTATTATGCGTGCCACATTCTCCGTCCATCGGTGCAGCAATATAACACGAATGCTGTCAATGATTATTGATTTAATAACCTATCGATCCCCGCGTGATTGATGGGCAACTTAATCGCCGATCATTGCTGTTATGCGATGTTCTAAAAGACAATGTTTAGCAACGAAGTGCCGTAACCTGAGCGATTTTTAGCGCGTTTTATAAACACATGAATTCGGTTTGTTTGATCGACATAGCGAGAATAATAAAGGTGCGTTGTTATCGTGCTAAGACCGACAGGTCATCTACGAATTCATATTAGCCAACAGAGCTGTGCGTAACTGCTTGAGGTTCGTTGAGCTACTTTGATGTAACCTACGCTGGAATATAAAGCTGATGACAGAGATAGGCGCCGATATATGCACCACAATATCTAGAATCATCCTTTATAGTCCACCCACAGAAACACACACACACTCTACCATAAATTAAAACTTAATAACTTATTAAAATAACTTATATAACAAACTTATCAACTTAACTTAACAATATTCAACTCATCAAATTTTCAACCGCTGAGTTTCGCGCCGGCGCCGAGAGATGTCGCCACGGGTGTGCTTCCGCTCACCTCACTCATCGTAAACGCTCTCGCCGCGTTGCAGGCGGAGGCACCACTGTCGCCGGTCGTCGTGCGCTCGTACAGCGGCGCCAGCGCTGCCCAGCGGGTGAGCTTCGCCAAACCGGAAGCGCAGATGAAGCAGACGAGCGCGTACAGCCAGGGCGTTTCCGTCAGCGTGTCCGTGCCCGCCGATGACGTCACGCCGTCGCTTCCCGCGCGCGCGCCGCTGCAGCCGGGACGGTCGCCGAAAGCCGACAAACCGTTACCGCCGGAGCCCGCCCGTGGCGTCGACGCCCGCCTGCTGACGTCATCGTCTTCGTTCGAAGCGTCACAGCGCGCTACCGTGGCGACGCCGCCGCAGTTGTCGCTGCAGGCGTCGGGAATCCCGGTGCCGCCGCCGCAGCCACCCAAGCCGACGAAACTTCCATCGCCGACGAATGTTTTCTACGTGCAGGGTCGTGCTAAGACTGTGCGAATCGGCAAGGTACGGTATAGCGAAGGGGCGTCTGTCTCCCTCTCCTCCATCCTGCCCTCTCTCTCCTGCTCTGTCTCCCCTTCTCTAAGTCTACCTATCGCGCGCGCTCTCTCATTCTTTCTCTACATTTCTTCTCTCTTTATCCCGCTCCCTTTCTCCCTCCCTTCCTCTCTTTCTCTCTCTCTCTCTCCCTCTCTCTCTCTCTCTCCCTCTCTCTCTCTTTCTCTTTCTCTCTATCCCGCTCCCTTTCTCCCTCCCTTCCTCTCTTTCTCTCTCTCTCTCTCCCTCTCTCTCTCTCCCTCTCTCTCTCTTTCTCTTTCTCTTTCTCTCTATCCCGCTCCCTCCCTCCCTCTCTCTCTCCTCTCTTTCTTTCTATCCCGCTCTCTCCCTCCCTCCCTCCCCCTCTCTCACTCTCACTCTCCTCTCTCACTCTCCTCTCTCACTCTCCTCTCTCATTCTCTCTCTCCTCTGTCTCTCTTGTCGTTGATACAACAAATATGTCCTATTCAGGTGCGCTGGCCGCCGCCGCGCGAGGAGACAGAAGGCAGCAACAGCTTCGTCGCGTTCAAGCTGAGACAGGAGGAGAAGAAGAAGGACGACCCTCCCCGACACTCGCCTCCCGTACATCTCCCTCGCTTACCCTGCAGGTTCAAGGATCCGCGACCTGCCAGCCCGCAGCAGCAGGAGACCGATGACGAGTACAAGGTACCGAGAGACCCGCGCCCCATCAATCGCAATCAGCATCCTTTCCTCAGCCGCTCGGCGAGTCCGCGGCCGCTTGACCGCGTGCGCAAGCCGCGCCCGACAAGTCCGGACCAGGTGAGAACCATAACGCCCCATACTGCTATTATTTTATATAGCTTATATTATATCTGCTATTAATTAATCCCCCACCTTGCGTGCGTGCGTGCCTTGCGTGCGTGCGTGCGTGCGGCGGGCGGGCGTACGTGCGTGCGTGCGTGCGTGCATGCGGGCGTGCTGGGCGGATGTGCGTGCGGGCGCGCTTCGTGTTTGTGTTAGTGCTTATGTGCTGTGTTCGTCTTTGTGCTTGCGGTCATTTTTTCATGTTTGTGGTAATTGTATGTTGTATTCGTATTTGTGCTCCCGTTTGTGCTTTCATACTTGCGGCATGCCGTGTTGTGCTCGTATTTGTGCTCGCGTTCGTGTGTTTGTGCTACCCGCGCCCCGCCACCGGTGAAAGAAACTACGCGTACTGCTGATATATCCCAGCCGTGCTCGAATTGTGATTGTGCTCGCGTTCGTGTTTTTATGCTTGTGGCGTGCTTGTGTTGAGTTTGTTTTTGTGCTCGTGCGTGCTTGTGTTGGGTTTGAGCTTGCCTCAACGCTCGCATTGCTGTTGTAACTGTGTTTGCGTTCGTGCTTGCGTCGTGTGTTCGTACTCGCGTCGTACGTTCGTGCTTGCGTCGTGCGTTCGCGCTCGCGTCGTGCGTTCGTGCTCGCGTCGTGCTTGCGTCGTACGTTCCTGTTCGCGTCGTACGTTCGTGCTCGCGTCGTACGTTCCTGTTCGCGTCGTGCGTTCATGCTCGCGTCGTGTGTTCGTGCTTGCGTCGTGCGTTCGTGCTCGCGTCGTGCGTTCGTGCTCGCGTCGTACGTTCGTGCTCGCGTCGTACGTTCGTGCTCGCGTCGTGCGTTCGTGCTCGCGTCGTGCGTTCGTGCTCGCGTCGTGCGTTCGTGCTCGCGTCGTGCGTTCGTGCTCGCTTTGTACGTTCGTGCTTGCGTCGT